TCCCGATCGGTCCTGCTGAGGCTGCGTGCCCAGGTGGTCGGCCGTGGCGACCGACGCGGAGTTAGCCGGTCGGCGGCGATCCTTTATGTTCTTTTTTTCCCTCTGCGTGGAGGAGCCCTCATCTTGATCCTGGCGCTTGGCCTTGCCTTTGCCGTGGCCTCCATTGGAGCGCGGTAAGAACGGCGCTTGCTGGGGGATGTGGGCAAAGGTCGGTGGTCCCGGGCCGTCAGTGTTGGGACTCCGGTCGCCGCTGCATGTGCCTCGAGTCGGTCTGAGCCGCGCATAGATAGGCGGTTGACGTGGAGCGGTCGTCAGGTCAGGATGAGGCGCCGTTGCGGCCTCATGTGTCGTGCTCAACGGTTGTTGTGGTGACAGGGCGTAGTGCCCCATCTGCTGCGTCCCTACTCTTGGGATGGGGAGCGAGGTCGTGAGTCGGCGTCGCGACACGGAGCATTCCACTTGCTGAATGGCGGCGGTCTCCACCAGTGCCCGGAGGTTCCGGTGGATCGCTCGCTCATAAGGGTCGTTCGGCTCGGACAAGCCGCGTAGGAGCATTGCTGCGGCGGCCTTGTTCTGACTAGCCCGAGTGAACTACGAGGGATCGGTCCCCCTACCGAGGTGTTGTGCTGGACCTGTCGGGCGTGACCCCGAGCGCCGCTCACCGGTCCACGCGCGCGGGGTGTAGTGTAGCGCGCCGAACGCGCCGGCGCAGTTGGTGGCTGATGCGGCCACTGTCGTCGTAGTTCCTCCTCGTGCTCACGTGTGAGCTCGGAGGTCTCCGTGTGAGGGCCCAGCGGGGCGTGAGTCCGTGAGGACTCCGTTGCCCCTGGCAGCTGTCCCAGAGCGTCCGTCATAGCGCACTCTCGGGACGGACGGTGGCTGGGTGCCACGTCGCCGATGCTGGAGCCGTCACTCCCGACGTCGTCGTCCATGATTCGAGGAAACAGGAGGGATCGTAGCTCGCCATCCCCACGAACTCAGATGTGGGAGGAGACGGCGCCATAATCTTTCGGAGCCCCCAGGCGTACGCATCCGCGGGAGACACGAGGTCGTAGGAGAGCCGGCCGTACGGTGGCCGTGACGGGAACAATGGCAGCCCTCCGGGTATTTGGCGGAAGATTGAATGTAGTAAGTAAAGGACGGTATGTATATTACTTACAGTGGGGTTTGAGCAGAGAGTTTGCTCGGAATGAAGCGCAGATGCCGCGCCGTTGAGGTCGCGCGTCCTAGAGTCGACGGAGAACGTCACTCCGACGGGTGTCGGGTCGTAAGTTTCCTCGCGGAGGTGGAGTACGCCGAGCCGGTCGGCGATGAAGTCCAGGCTTCCGAAGAGGAAGGCCTGGGATGGCTCGAAAATGAGTGGAACCCGCATGCCCGTAGGTGAGAGTGCGGGATACTCTAGTGAGCCGAGGCGGATTGCGTCGCCCAAGCCCCCCGCGGTGGGGGTGGTGGAAAAATGGGCCATCCGATGATAAAAAAGTGTTGAATGTACAACGTCTTCCCCACGGACGGCGCCAACTGTCGGTACAGAAAGTGACCAACTTGTGAATATTTGTAGTTTTGCTGTACGTTGTGATCGGAGGTGGCCTAGCACTCAATGACACAGGGTTTAGACTGGTTCGGGCAACGTGCCCTACGTCCATTGTGGGTCTGTTGGTGACTTTATTCCTGAGCTCAGGTGCTCGAAGTCTGTAGTGGGGTTACAAACGAGAAGGAGAAAGGAGGGGTGTACGAGAGGCCTGGTCGGGTCCGACCGGAAGGGTCGAGGGCGACCGGAACTCTGCTATGAGCTAGGTGTTCAAGCGTGTGCTTAAGGGGTTTCTGAGCTATCGATCTAGTGAGCCTGAGCTTGAAGAAGTTGACCTCTGGAAAATCGATCTCCTTTGTTGGAGGGAGCGCATCCCCTTTTATAGATAAAGGGGATGGCTTTACAGGTGAGAGGGAGAGAGTACGGATGTTTCTAAGTCTTGTTGCCCATGCCGAATGATGGTAGTGATGATGGTTGGCACGCATAACACTGTTGATGTCGCTGTAGAATGTCAGACGCATATGGGGGGTTGCGTTGGCTTCTTCAGGAAGGGTGGACGTCGGTACCTGTGAAATGCTGTTAGTATATGAGGAGCCCCACCACGTGTACCAGGTATGGTGAATCCTGATGCCCACTATCGATGCCCAGAGGCATGTGGGGGGCCTTTTCGCCGTATGGGAGCCCCAACGGCGCTTACAATAATGTAGACGTAAATGTCGGCGCTTACAATACTGTAGACACAAATGTCGGTACCTCCCATACTGTTTGTGTCAGGTCGGTTGTGGAGCATTGTTCCCGCAGGCGTACAGGGTATGATCCCGGTACCGTGTTTTGACTTTGTGCGCTGCTTTCTCCATTCGCCCCTGGTCGCTTCTGAGTGGGAATCCCTGGTCGGATGGCTCCGTCGATACTGGCCGTGCCAGTCGAAGAAGAGCGGTAAGCAGGCTTCCTACGAGGCTCCGGTCGGAGACGCGGGGTCGGAGTAGGAAGCAGCGTTTTGGGCCAAGCCTTCCGATCGGGGAGTCCGCCCGGAGGCAGCCGGCGCCTGAGGCGAGCGCTCCGGTCGGAGAGGTGGGCCGAAGAAGTTGTCGAGCGGGCGTTCGTTCTTTCGGTGGACCTTCCGGTCGGCGACCGGTCTGTCCCCCCGGCCCGTTGTTTTTAGACTTTTTGGGCCAGCCCATGAACTACAGGCTGTTCTCCTGGGCCGAGCCCGGACGTCGAAGCCGGTCTCGAGGGACCCCAGGTTTATGAACCCGACAATCACATATATGTAAAATCAGTACAGCTAGTAAGATCTCTCCCCTTATCTCAGACACCCAACCTAGATTATGAAGGGCCTGCGCTTGTGTAACCAAGAGTTTCAAGGTTGTGTGATGCCCTAACATTTAAATCCTATGGATTAAAGAAACACATGAAACTACAAGATCGAACGCTTTGATAGAACATAAGAAAAGCCACAAAAATTTGATAAGTGACACAATAAAAAATTTCCATGAGAATTGATCCAAAATTCTTATAAAATAAGCCATTCATACAAATTTCATAGATTTGCAGGAACCCAATTCTTTACTCCAAAATACTTCATAAGAAACTTTCCTATAAGATTCTAATTCTCTAAAATTTCTCCATTTTTATTTGTTTTTCAAAAGGATCTAGAGTTAAATTTACTCCCAACATTTTTAGTCTAGCGTCTCATTAGTCCCACTTTCCTCCAAGGGCGATGGTGGGGAAGCCCAAGAGATCCTCGCTCAATCACTCCTGACCCATAGCGTCCAGCAACGAGGACCACCAGTCCTCTTCCACATAAGGAGAGATACCAGCAATGTCCTTTTCTCATTGCTACGACAATTGTTCTTGGCCTTGGGTAGGCTTTCGCTGTCCCACCCATCGCGTACAAGGCAAAATAATAGATGATGGGCAAGAAACAATTACTCTTGGACCTGTCCGGGTCTCTTGAATTGAAACTACATTCTATACTTGGCCTGTTTGGCTCCACCGTGGAAAAGAAGTTAGCATTCCTTGACATTTCTGGAACTATTAGCCTAAAGCGAATTCACATGTAAAAAAACTCAAAAAATCATGATTTCATCAGTCTTCAGGATCGAGCCCCTCATCCCTCGTCCCCTGCTCGCGGCTCTAGATACCTCTCATCCATTGCAGTGTCCTCTGCAAGTTCCATTGCTACCATACCACTGCAACTTGTCATGCCACCCTATCGGGGTTGCTGTCATGATGTTTTACGTTCGTTGTCACGCCACAATTCCCGATCGCCGTCAGGGGTGCTCTAGGCTACTGTTGTGCGAATCCAATACCTGATCCGGGCCACGGTTGAGTGGATCTAGCGGCCTCAGTAGGAGCCCGAGCCATCATCGAGTTGATTCGACGGCCTACGGATGAAAAATGGAAATGAATACTCGAATCATTCCTATATTTATATCCGCTAAAATTCGTAATATGGATATGTATATTAGTATTGTTTTAATTTAGTTTTTTAATCATTTTAATACTTTAACTTATTTATTTATTGATGTAAATTATTTTATATAATTTATAATTTCATGATAAAATTATAAAACCAATGATTGCATAATTGATAATTTTAATTATTAAATATTTATTGATAACTATATTATTTTTGCTTTAATAAAATAATAGATCAAGCGAAGAAATTCATGTAAGTTGAATTTAATAATACACGCTTTGAGTTAAATTAAGTAAATATCCAAATCCGAGACATCTGCTTTGGATTCGAATCTGTTTGTATATAAATTGGATCTGTTTTCATATGTACCACAGCCATCATGCCAAGTTGCGAACCTAGGCACGGTCAACCACCATCCAGACCGGCCACAGCATGCGACCATCGCATCGTGCGTCACACTCTTGAATTTGTAAAAAGACAAATTCCTTACCTACAATCAAACAAAAACATTAGATTCGAATCTCTTTCTAACCAATTCAATCCTTTTCAAAATCCATAATGGAATCTAATTGTCAATTCTTAGAATCCAAATAAACCATTAATCTATTCAACCGGCCTCCTATTGCTTCCACTTGCCCCGTTGCCGTCCCATCGCTCTCCAGTCTCTAGGACGGCGATCGAGAAGATCCACAGTGCCTGAAACCACCGGTCTCTACAGTGTGCTTATGTTGCTGCCACTGTTGTACTGTGCTCTCACATCGTCCCTATACAGCGCAAAAAATAAAAAAAATAATAATATAATATTGGTGGCCAATAAACAGTTGCTCTCAACCTTTCGTTCCGTGGCCCCTTTCGTTTGTTAGCCCCTGCCACGACCGCGTCGCGCGCTAGCGCCCTTCACGCCCTGCGCTTGCCTCGTCGCGGCCACGTCCACCCACCCATCATCCCCTTTCCCAAGATCCGAGCCGCGGCCATGACCTGATCATCCGTCTCCAAGTACCTCGCAGGAGCAGATTGCAAGGAGGGAGCCACTGCTGCGACTTCCTGGCGATGGTGACCGTTGCGGCGGGAAGGCGGGCCGGGGCCGCCGGCGCCGTTGGTGGCCGCCGGCGCTCGGGCTGCGGCGCGGGGCAGGCAGCACAGCAGAACAGTCCCCTGCAGCAGAAGCTACTGGCGGTCGCCGTCGCCGCGCGCTTCGCTGAGGCCGGGCCACCGCCGTCCGCGGAGGCCTCCGGTGCCGGCGCCGGCGGCTGCTGCGTCGAGCTCCTCGATTGCCTCCTCGGGGCACTGAACGTCAGCGTGGCCACTGTGGCCCCGGCGCCCTCGCAGTACGGGTGGGCCGTGCGCGAGATCCGCCCCCGCGGCGGCGGGTCCGCCGAGGACCGCCACGCCGACGCTCCCTCGGGCCGCATCGCGGGCAACGGCGCATCCGCCTCCGCCGCCGCGTCGCTCTACACCATGCAGGGCAGGAAGGGTGTCAATCAGGACGCCATGGTGGTCTGGGAGGTACAGTTGATACCATCATCAGCATTTCTCGTGTCCAATAAATAATCCCCTTGTTTATTAGTTTTAACAATCTTACCGATTGCTTGATCTCTGTTCTGCCGATTCATCTCCGTGATGTGAAACTCGTTTCGCGGATGCTCTAGAAGCATGTTCCGATACAACGGCGAAAGCGAAACATTTTCATGGTTTGCTGAGCTCTGCTTTGGCCAGATGTGATGTTCACGTGCAAAAGGAGAACTGTCGTCTGGCCTTTTGTGTTTTTTAAATAGGAGTTCTTAATAGGTACGCTTGAGCTGGCATAGACAACGAAAGATTTAAACTTTGACCAGGGCATACATGTGTCGTCTCCTCGTAGAATGCCTGCCTGACCCCCTCCATCTGGACTAGAATACCACTTCGATTCGTCTCCTCTTGCTTCACATGGATTGCATTGGATACTGCCGGTATAGTGTGTTTTACCCTGCACTAGTTTAATCAGAGCTTAATAGTTGCTCTCCTGATGGAGAAACCTGGACGTAGGGAAGGGCTCCACATGATTCTCATCCTTATCCTTAAGTTTCCACATATAGACGATCTTATCTGCTTCATGTACTCCTTGAGTTGAACAGTTGATACCTGCCATTTCCATTTGCTTATGTTCTTGGTATAAAGTTATTTTGGTACTATCTGTCCACATAAGGCATTCTTGTCTCTTTAGATTTAGGTTTTGTTACTTCACAGTTTACTGATTTTGGCTATCTGTAGACGCCACATAAGTTGTTCTTATCTCTTTCGACCTAGGTTTCATTAGAATCTTCTTCACAGATCACTGAAGTTTAAATTACTAAATTTGTTGTTTGTTGCTGTGGCTGTCAGCCTACCACATCAATCATAGCATCCTAATGATTCAGCTGGTAAAATAACACAGCTCATTGCACACATTGCCATTTGGAAATTGTCGTCCATTGAGGGAAACAAGTGTTATTATTGTAATACATTTCCACTCTCTACCCCCGATGTGAAAGTGGTTAACTGATTTTAGCTTTTTTTTCCTTAACTTAGCAGTTAGCACTTTCTTGGTGTGTGTGCGCGATGGCTGTGGAGGGACTATCTAGGCTTCTTAATTACTACTTGATTATAAAGTACAAACAAAATGATTTTCCAGTCTCCGTTTCCCCCATTAAGTATATATTTTGAAACATGTATCATGTAGTTGGTTCCAAGAATAATGCTTGTTTTCTACTTGCAGAATTTTGGTTCAAAAGATGATACCGTTTTTTGTGGAGTTTTTGATGGCCATGGACCAAACGGCCATTTGGTTGCCAAGAGGGTCAGAGATCTTCTCCCTGTAAAGCTGAGTGCAAATTTAGGAAAGGGTGAATACAAAGAGATTTCTACTAGCAATGTCAAGAGTGGTACTACTAAAGGAGTTGCAACCGAACACAGGGTTGAAGATACTGATGCTTCCACTGGAAATGAAGAGAATGGCGAGTACCCAGAATTTTTCACGGCACTGAGAGCTTCATTCTTGAAGGCGTTTTATGTTATGGACAGGGATCTGAAAGTACATAGAAATATTGATTGTGCATTCAGTGGTACAACAGCGGTCACAGTAATCAAGCAGGTAGAACTACTGTTTTGTTTGTCAAAAAATAGTTTTCTTGTATGATGTTCCATGATGCCCTTTTGTTACTGTAATCTGCAGTTAGTTTTTAATTCAGCCCATTTATCTTGCTTTTTCTACAGGGACAAAATCTAATAATTGGCAACTTGGGAGATTCGAGAGCTGTCTTGGGCACAAGAGATGAACATAATCATCTAGTTGCTCTTCAGTTGACAGTGGACCTCAAACCTAGCATCCCAAGTATGTTTCGTCTTCATGTATTGTTCTATTCTAGAGGTCTAACTTTACAAGAATTTTCAATTCTGAAAAGTGGATTTGAGTTTTTATAGTTTTGTAACAAGTGTAGTAACTAATTCAGTGAGACTCCTGAAATAGGTGCATGTATCTAGGATTTTTAGGAAACTATTTCATGACACACATATGAAAGGAGATTTATGAAAGAAAATTAATACAAGTTAATGTTTGTTGTTAAATTGATCCATATCCTTTTGGGCATTGTAATGAGTAATGACCTTCTCGTGCATTAAATCTTAAAATCACCTATTTGGGCTTTGAGGGTCAGGATGTATAAACTTTGTTAGAGTTCTAAGTGCCCTTTTAGTTCATATTAACTAAAGACCTCCTTGCAAGATAAGTATCCAAAAATAATCGTTATATGGCTTATGTCTTCTACCTCCATATTGACTTATGTAAATCATGATAGTGTAAACTTTGCCACTACGATACTTTTATACATTTTTTTGGAATGTCAATATTTTTACATTGCCTAAAATTGCAGCATAGTTTTCTGAATAACGAAAGCTGCAAGTTCTTCAAAATTACTGCTTCCATGAAGTGTTGTTGGTTCTAGCTACTCCTATACTTCCAGACTGAAGTTGTTAGGCCCTCATAATTTTTCTCTCTCATATAAATATAGAGAAATGGACCATGCTTTTATAACCATCCTACTCAGACTGTTAGTGTGCTTGCACTTTATCTTCTGCAAAGGAACATTTCTAAAAACAGTGTTCATGAAACTTCTTGTATTGATGTGTTAATAACAGATGGGTATATGTTACATAGAGCTTGTGTAAAACGATGGTGAAATGAAAGAGCATGTCAACTGGCTGTTTCCAGTTATCCAAAAAAATGGCTGTTTCCTTCTTTTGTTGTGTAACTTTGTTTGCATGAAGTAACTTTGGTGTTATGATTTGTAGATATTACCCAAAATAAGAAAAAATGAATCATTTACAGGTGAAGCAGCACGAATCAGGCAACGAAGGGGCAGAGTATTTTCTCTTCCAGATGAACCAGACGTTGCTCGTGTGTGGCTTCCAACTTTCAACTCGCCAGGGTTGGCCATGGCAAGATCATTTGGAGACTTCTGTCTGAAGAATTATGGAATAATTTCTATGCCTGATATTTCCTACCACCGCATCACAGATAAGGATGAATTCGTTGTGTTGGCGACTGATGGGGTGAGCACAGAGTAACTCAAACATCTTGGTTGCTTATTACTACTTGTTAAGAGCCAGGGAGATTTTTGCTATATGATCATCTGAGTCTCTTTGTTGTCTGTAGGTGTGGGATGTGCTTTCCAATGCCGAAGTTGTTAGCATCATCAACAATGCTCCTTCACAGGCCTCAGCAGCTCGATTTCTTGTTGAATCAGCTCACCGGGCATGGAGAACGCGGCACCCCACATCAAAAACCGATGACTGTGCTGTTGTCTGCCTCTTCCTGAATACAGAAGCAGCAAGTGCATCCTCCAGTTCTGTATCCAAAGTTTGGTGAAGAACGGAGAAGTGAGCAGCGGTAAGCACTCATTGGCTGTTAAATCAAGCACCGGGATTCCTGCAAATCTTGTTACTACCAAAGATGAGTTGTCTTTTTCTTGATGTTTCCTCTGGGTGTGTTACACTGCCAACTTTATCAAAGCCCACTTCAGTTGCGACAGATAGCTCAGAAGATTGAGCTTGCCTGCCAATTGAGATGGGATAATTTTTGCTGGAGATTTGTTCGCCTTTGTTTGCAAGCTTGCATGCATCAGATTTGTGACGTGAAGATAGTGCCAGTTTCATTGGCGAATTGAGTGGAAGTTATTGCGTGCTGGAATGGATAGGTGTGCAGGTTTTGTTCTTTTTGTAAAGTATTCTATCAGTTTAGTGAGATCAGTTGGTAGTAATGATAATTGTAATAATACTGTGCCTATTATTGATGGATGGGATGATCAGATCCATGCATAGGATGAAGTTTCTCCCTTCTTTTGTAATGTAAATAATTGTTTCAGTTTCCACAGATCTAAGTTTTCTTTTGTAATATAAAAGACTTTTGCTATTTATCTGTTGACAGAATTTTTTGGTACTAATCTGTCATATTTCTATACGTTTGATTTGTGCTTTTGGATTTGTGCTACAAGTGTCTGCTGGGTCGCATTTATAAAAAATCTAATAGTTTTGACCACATAAAATCTGTCGATAGATAACTAGACACTCTCAATAAATAATTGTTTCAGTTTTTCAAATGTGTTATGTTATAGTTTTGCTTTGTCCAATTAAACTCAGTATTATATTTCCATTGATGCGGCAACAGACCATTCCAGTTGGATCATTGGATGTCTAAGAAAGCTTTCCTCTGTATGTCCTGTATTATGATGGTTTGGGGAGAAATGGGGTAGTTATGGACTGATTGGTTAGGTTGCAAAGAAGTTTTGACTTATGTAAGGCAGAAACAAATGTTGATCATATGATGATTAACAGGCGATTGGAAAGGAGAATAACAGGAGCAAATTTTGCAAACTACAACTGATTGGCCAAGCTATCGCAAAATTGTGTGCTCTAAGATGCATTGCAGAAGTACAATGTTTTTTCTTAGGACATGTTTGAATCAGCTAAAATAAGTTGCAAGCTATAAAAAAAGAGAGCTTAAACTGGTCCAAATACCCCAGCTTATAATATAATATATTTTATAGCCCTTGAACTATTTAACCATCAGATTATAAAAAAACTAGTATTAGCTGATTCTGTTTAGCTATTGCAGTTTATAAAAAGTTATCTGATCCAAATAAAGCTTTAGTGTCAAATACTCTGTAGTAGGTTGCGACATTAGTCCAAACAGGTTACGGCGAGCATAGACGATCTGAAATCATTACAAAGATTACAAATCGTAGAGTCCTATTACTCAGATGCTAAACAACTATAAGTCCGTGAGCTTCTGCTCTATAACCCATTAGTCCGCCTTGTGTTTCGCTAGTAGATCCGCATATGCGATAGATGGGTCACTCGTGCTCGTTTATGTCATGATCTCTGTGATGTCGTATTTCTGAATTAAAGCATGTGACAAAATGACTAAATATTCAACAAAATATGAACTTGTGAGTCTTTGGAGATTTATACATTGGTAGATCTTTGAGCCAATTTAGTTAGTTAGTCCGCCTTGTGTTTGATCAGCTGCTATTCGTTGCCTGAAGGCTAGTTTATGCCCCTCGGGCGTTCCTTTCTTTTCACACTTGCCAGGACACAAGTGTGAAGAGGCTGTGTCAATTCCACGACGCCGGGGGCTCATTCCAGGATGCTCTCAAGTCTCAACCCCCGTGTACCTACCGTGTACGTGCAGCTGCTGAGCAGGTGATCGATTGGTGATCGATTGTTTCGGCTTCTTGTTGCTCACACAGATGGCAGAGGGCTCTGGTGTCGAGCCCGTAGCTACTACCGTTTGGATGCTATGGCCTTGTAAAATATTTTTGTTATCCAAAGCTGCTACGTGTTGGATGGAAAAAAAAACTTTTATATTTTTGAAACCATGCTATTATAAAGTTCACTCAGCATTACACACAAAATTGCACTGAATAAAGTCCCTTAAATATCTGAAGACCAGGAGTTAAAATAGCAGATTACACCCTTATGTCAAAAACCATCGATCACATGTAGGTTTGATTAATTATATAGATCAAACCTCGTATCATGACACAATGTCACGAACTGAACTGGGATTTGGACCCGCGGTACCTGAGGAAGCCGCTATACGTATCAGCTCCAAAAAAAAAAAAAAACAAAATCTCCCACTCTCTTGTACTTATCTGCCTGCCCGCCCCAACTCCTTCGTGTTTATCCGCTAGGCCGCGAAGCAGCGTGACCGCTTATTGTCCGCGCCCCTTCCCCCACCGCACGCTCGTTCGCTGCCACACCGTGCCCCACCGCCCCGCGCCCCATCACCGACCGCGCGCTAGTCCGCTATCGTGCGGTGCCCCACCGCCCCGCGTCGCGCGCCCATCCTAGACATCTATGCCGCTCGCTCCCTCACACTACTAGGATCTGCACTTACATGACGAGCATCTTTCGTCACTGAAGAAGTCAAATTCGTCATAATTTCAGTTTTATGACGAAAAACGGTTCGTCAAAAAAGTCGCGTCACACTTGAACTTCCATGACGAACCTAGAAACTTCGTCATTGAAATTGTTTGATCTGTGATGAAAAACTGACTGTCTAGAACTGTTTAGGCATGCGTGGCAGGGGTTGCCATGCTGGTGGGTGCTTCCGTTGGAGATGCTTTCCACGTGTATATGCTATAGCCAGTTGCATTGGAGATGATTCGGGTACGTATCACCTTCTTATTAGACAATGTGGCCATCTCTGGTTCTTGCATGTTTGAAAGCTCTAGTTTGGTTTTGGATAATTGATAAAACCTATGTGAAAGCATCTAGGCCCCTAGTTGGGTTTCGGTGATTAATGACAATACGAGATTACTGTGACTAACGTGTGTTTTGTAGATGTAATTAAGTTAGGTCATGGTAATGGAGTTTGATTGGGTAATCATGGTTGTCATGCCCCTACATGAAAATCATTTCGGTTTCAAAGGATGGACGACAAGGTTAAGGATGGACTAGTTCTAAGTGTCGTTCGGTGTTGAAGAGACACTTAGAGTAGTTTAGTACTTTGATTTTCCTTTGGCCGTACTATTAAGGGGGGCATGGACGGGTAGCTTGACCTAGGTGAGTCTAGTGGGTTAGGTGTGGTGCATACTTGTCAACTCTAGCACTAGGTAGCTCCTAAATAGCCCTTTGATTAATTGGAGCAAACTTCATTCACATATGATTGCGAGATGGAAGTGAACGGAGGGTCAAATGCTGACCGGACGCTGGTTCTGGTGTGACCGGATGCTGGCGTAGAGTCCGGTCAGTTCATTTGATCAAGGTGAAATCGTCTGGTGCGACCGGACGCTGAGAGGTGAGTGACCGGACGCTGGGTGCCAGCGTCCGATCTACTTCAGTAAGGTTCCAGAGAGGGAAAATCGTGACAAACGCGTCCGATTAGTGTTGACCGGACGCTGTGCTGCGTCCGGTCATAACTTAAACACTCGGTTTCAGGGAGAAGTGACCGGAGCGTCCGGTCACCCTGCAGAGGCACATAACGGTTCGTTTTGAATGAGGGGTTATAAATACTTCCTCTATTCACTAAAGGGATCACTTTTGCTTATTCCAACAGCTAAGAAACACCCTTGAGAGTGCCAAGAAGAGCAAGGTCCTAGTGAGGTGATTGAGATTTGAGAATCCAAGAGAGAAGCCTCATTAGTGAAAGCAAGAGTAGCAAAGTGTGCATCCACCCTTCGCATTAGGCTTGTCGTGGTCAAGTGAGAGTTCGTGCTTGTTACTCTTGGTGATCGCCATCACCTAGACGGCTTGGTGGTGATTGGGGGCTTGGTGATCATCCAGCAGAGCTTGTGGATGACCCAACTCAAGTTGTGAGCGGTTGTGGGTGATTCACCGCGACGGAGTGTCGAAGAATCAACCCGTAGAGAGCACTTGATCCTTGCGCGGATCAAGAGGGAACTACACCCTTGCGCGGGTGCTCCAACGAGGACTAGTGGGGAGTGACGGCTCTTCAATACCTCGGTAAAACATCGCCGCGTTCCTCCTTCTCTATTTACTTTAAGCATTTACTTTGAGCAATTCAATTCTTATCTTCACATTCATAGAATTGCCATGCTAGAGTAGAATTAGAACATAGGTTGCTAAACTTTTGTACGGTAGAACAATAGAAACACTTTCTAGGCACAAGGGGTGAAGTGGGCTAACCGTAGGGTTTAATTATTGCAAAGAATTTTAGAATTAGCCCAATTCACCCCCTCTTGGGCATCTTGATCCTTTCAATTGGTATTGGAGCCTCATGCTCACAAAATTAGACTTAACCGTCTAGAGAAAGATGTCTCACGGGGATGGTCCTCCTCCTATCTTTGAGGGGGATGATTTTCTATATTAGAAAATCCGCATAGAGGCGTATTTAGAAGCTCTAGATGTTGGAATACTTAGAGCCGCCTCACAAGGATTCCCAAAACCTTGGGATCCCACACACCTTCAAGACGATGAAGTGAACTATAAGAAATGGAATGCAAATGCTCGAAACACCATCTTTAGAGGCCTTTGCAAAGATGTGTTCAACCGGGTGAGGATCCACAAAGACGCCCATGCACTATGGTCGGATATTTGTGCGCTCCATGAGGGAACTAAGAGCGAGCGTGAGTGTCGACGAAATATGGTCGGCAGTCCACCGAGGGTGGTGCCCGTGGTGGTAGATTATCGGTAGGATGCGTGTAATCAGGAACCAGATGGTTATAGAGACACAAGACACAAGATTTATACAGGTTCAGGCCGCCAGTGTGGCGTAAAACCCTACATCTTGTGCTCTATTATTTGTATTGATCTAGGGTGAGATCTGTATGATCTGTATGATCTTGTCCGTTAGGGGACCCTTGCCCCTCCTTATATATTCTGAAGGGACAAGGTTACAAGTACAGT